TCTGTGTGTCTGTGTCTGTGTCGGTGTGTGTGTGTCTGTGTCTGTCTGTGTGTGTGTGTGTGTGTGTGGCAGTGCTCGGCGGAGTGTGGCTCCGGTAGTCAGCAGAGGGCAGTGGTGTGTCTGATGAGGTCTGACGAGGGTTTCGTCGTGATGCCGTCGTATGAGTGCTCGTCTCTGGACAAACCTCTCAGCCAGCAGAGCTGCTTCATCAAGACCTGCGGAGCCAAGTGGTTCCACACCGACTGGAGCGCGGTGAGACCATCATACTAACAACCACCCCAACAACCACACAGCAGCTCAGCTCAGATCATGTGTGTGTGTGCGCAGTGCTCAAAGACGTGTGAGACGGGGTACCGCGTGCGAGAGGTGCGCTGTCTGAGCGATGACATGACCACCAGCGACCTCTGCGAGGAAACGCTGAAGCCTCATGACAAGGAGGAGTGTCACCCTGAGCCCTGCCTGCCTCTGATTGGTCAGTCCCCTCATTAATATGTAAATATGTCACTGCATATTCATCTCTACTCATTTCATAAAAGCATCTGTGGAAATCCTAACCCGTTTACCCAAAATCTAAAGAAAGAAACTGTATTTTGCACATAGAAAATTATTATAATTTTTTTTTTTTTTACTGTTTTATGAATTTTCTCATTTCTGAAATATAAAAATATAGATATATTATTTAAATATGCAAAATTGTTATAAATCATGCTGCTGGTATTTATTGAAACAACAAACAGTGTATTACTATGGAAGTTTAATTCTGCCACAAAAAAAATGTAATTGCAACTTTTTATCTTACAATTATGTATGTATATTTTGCAATTCTGAGAATTGTGAGAGAAAAAACTCAGAACTGTGAGATGAAGTTTTTGCCTTTTTAGTTTAATTTTTAAATTCTGTTTTTATTCCATAGTTTCCATATATTACAGTAAGTTTGCTTTTATTTAAAAAAAATTACTATTACAGAAATAAGAATCAAATGATAGCCATCATTGAGAATTATGATGATTACTGAAAAGAAAAAAACAATAAGAATGCATTTGGATGCATTTCAAAAATAATTAAATCATAAAACTGATAAATTAATATATACGATTTTAAAGTGAGTTTACAGTAACGCGCATAATTCGCAGATAAATTAATTATCATGAATTTAATGTCAGAATGTAAAAATAGGCTTTATTTTCCTTATGCAAAGTATTTATTCACGCAAAAATTTATATTTATCCTTATGCAAAACTGCATTCTTTCTAGGGTGACGTGTGCATGTTTTCATGGTTTAATTTGTGTGTGTTTCAGATGAGAAGTGTCGTGATAAATACTTCAACTGTAACGTGGTGGTGCAGGCGCGTCTCTGCGTGTACGACTACTATCAGATGGCGTGTTGCGTGTCCTGCAAGCGTGTGGCGCAGAGGAGCTCCGCACACTGGAGACAGCGATCGTGATCGAGTGATGATGAGATCAGTATGTACTCAGTGCGTCACGCATGAACACTAGAGCGCATGATCAGGAGAGAATCCCTGCGTTAGCAACCACTTCACTTCTGTTCACACTGCGGATTTAAAGTGAATTCAGCGTTATTCAGAGTGAATGTGATCAGAACAGACTGGATCTCTGAGAGGAGTGGCGTTGTGTAGAACTGTGAACGTGTTCAGTTCACTGCAAAACTGGATCCGGTTCCTCAGATCTGAAACGCAGATCCGGTTAGACACGCTTTCTTTGGTCTCTTATTAAACTCTCATCTACGGGCTTCAAGAGCAAAAACACAAAGACAGTGATTCATACTGACAGAATTAACATATGGAGCTAAAATAGTCTCAAAATTAATGTGTTTACAAAATATGGTTCACAAATGCAATAGCTAAGTCACATTCACAAAACAAAGCCTTTATGTATAATGCATTATGTACGTTATAATGCATTAAATCTTTTCATAAATAATTGCAACCAAAGTTACTATGCATTATAGGTTTGTTTGCCATGTTTTAGTGCATTATATTTTCTAAAGGTGTAACAATTATAACAGTGGTTACAATTATTCATGAGGTCATGCAATGCATTATAAGGTGCATTACAAGTCATATTTAATGCATTATAACTACGTTTATTATGCATAAAGGTTTTAAGTAAAGTGTTACCAAAAAAATGTATCTATTTGCAAACTCACAAACTCATAACCTTATTCATATTCAACAACAAAAAAAAGTTTTGCAAATGCACAACCAAATTTACGTTCACAAAATAAGATTCACAAATGCACGTTTCTGAATGAGTGATTTTTAGACGTGAGTTTTCAATCATAATGCACTTTGTTCGATGCTCTGAATTAAAAATTTAAATGTGGCTTGATTAATTTTGAGACTGTTTTAGCTCCATAATAACCACAGCGATGAACTGACGTGAGCACCGGCACTCTGTACAGTAACATGTAAGTCCTATGTTTTTATTGTACTCGTATTTATATTTTGAACACTTTCAGTTCTGTAGTTTTGAAACAGATTTGTCAGCATTGTCATACTCATTCAGAACCGTTTATCTGTATCTTTTTAATCTTTATAACTCTGATTAAAGTATAAAGTTGAACTCTATTCCTCCTGATCTGAGTGAAGCTTGAAATTAATCTGTCAGTGTGTTTGCAGAATCATATAATAAGATCATAACAGCTCATAAGATAAGTTGGCGCTGCACAATTTGGAGTGAAAAAATAAATGGATAAAAAAATTGCAATTATGATTTAATATGTGATTTTTTTTAATGTTCCAGATTTGCTGCTTGTTTGCACAATCTGGCCCAAAATTTCAAGATTACATATTAATTTTATTGTAAATAATATATAAGAATAATAAACACAGCAATTTTTATTTTATAATTACTACTACTACAAAATAAAAAATATTAAACAAAATATTTATATTTTAATATTTCAATAGAATGTAAAAATAAGTATTTAAGGAAAATCATAATAATTATTATTATTATTATTATGAAATAAAATTTTAAACTAAAATTTGATTAACCTGCACTAAAATGAAAACCTGAACTATTTCTGTCATTTTTAGCAGAAGAGACGGAAAATGTGTGCAATCCCATCAAACTTGTTGTGGACGCGCCGTAGAAGTCATCGCAGACTGAATATGTGCAGAGAATCAAATGATCTCCTTAAGAGGCACATCATTGTGTGTGATAACATTTGTATTTGTCAAACCACTTCAGCCCTGAAGCCTTGAGACTCATTCATGCAGAATAAAGAGTCCCGTGACACACACACACACTCTCTCTCACACACACACACGCACACACACTCTCTCTCTCTCTCTCTCACACACACACTCACTCTCTCGCTCTCTCTCTCTCACACACACACACACTCTCTCTCTCTCTCTCTCTCTCTCTCTCACACACACACTCACTCTCTCGCTCTCTCTCTCTCACACACACACACACTCTCTCTCTCTCTCTCTCTCTCTCTCTCACACACACACTCACTCTCTCGCTCTCTCTCTCTCACACACACACACACTCTCTCTCTCTCTCTCTCTCTCTCTCTCACACACACACTCACTCTCTCGCTCTCTCTCTCTCACACACACACACACTCTCTCTCTCTCTCTCTCTCTCTCTCTCACACACACACTCACTCTCTCGCTCTCTCTCTCTCACACACACACACACTCTCTCTCTCTCTCTCTCTCTCTCTCTCACACACACACTCACTCTCTCGCTCTCTCTCTCTCACACACACACACACTCTCTCTCTCTCTCTCTCTCTCTCTCTCACACACACACTCACTCTCTCGCTCTCTCTCTCTCACACACACACACACTCTCTCTCTCTCTCTCTCTCTCTCTCTCACACACACACTCACTCTCTCGCTCTCTCTCTCTCACACACACACACACTCTCTCTCTCTCTCTCTCTCTCTCTCTCACACACACACTCACTCTCTCGCTCTCTCTCTCTCACACACACACACACTCTCTCTCTCTCTCTCTCTCTCTCTCTCACACACACACTCACTCTCTCGCTCTCTCTCTCTCACACACACACACACTCTCTCTCTCTCTCTCTCTCTCTCTCTCACACACACACTCACTCTCTCGCTCTCTCTCTCTCACACACACACACACTCTCTCTCTCTCTCTCTCTCTCTCTCTCACACACACACTCACTCTCTCGCTCTCTCTCTCTCACACACACACACACTCTCTCTCTCTCTCTCTCTCTCTCTCTCACACACACACTCACTCTCTCGCTCTCTCTCTCTCACACACACACACACTCTCTCTCTCTCTCTCTCTCTCTCTCTCACACACACACTCACTCTCTCGCTCTCTCTCTCTCACACACACACACACTCTCTCTCTCTCTCTCTCTCTCTCTCTCACACACACACTCACTCTCTCGCTCTCTCTCTCTCACACACACACACACTCTCTCTCTCTCTCTCTCTCTCTCTCTCACACACACACTCACTCTCTCGCTCTCTCTCTCTCACACACACACACACTCTCTCTCTCTCTCTCTCTCTCTCTCTCACACACACACTCACTCTCTCGCTCTCTCTCTCTCACACACACACACACTCTCTCTCTCTCTCTCTCTCTCTCTCTCACACACACACTCACTCTCTCGCTCTCTCTCTCTCACACACACACACACTCTCTCTCTCTCTCTCTCTCTCTCTCTCACACACACACTCACTCTCTCGCTCTCTCTCTCTCACACACACACACACTCTCTCTCTCTCTCTCTCTCTCTCTCTCACACACACACACACACTCTCTCTCTCTCTCTCTCTGAGCTCCGGCGGCTCCATGTCTCTCCTGGCGTGTCTTTCGTCGGTGGGAATGATGAGGACAGACGTGGTTCTTCACAGGAGGAAGCGCAGAGACGTTCTGCTGTACATCATCGCTGTAGTTTTGCTGATATTTGCAGTGGTTCATCTCGTCTTCTACGCTGGAAAGAGTTTTCAGGGTTCGGCTGAAGTGAGAGTCCGGCGGGATCTCGGTGAGAGAGATTTCATTCATTCACCCAGCGTCCAGTCACATGTATTTCTATAGCGCTTTATACAATACAGACAGTTTAAAAGCAGCTTCACAGAGATAAACAGGAAAAATAACAGTGTTAATGTTGTAAAATTCATCAGTTATGAAACAAATACTGCTTTACAGCTCTACAGAAGACAATAGAGTCATTATTCAGATCAATTCAGTTCAAGTTTTGTTTTCATCCGATAGTGTCAGTGCTGTTAAACTGATATTACTGAATATTAATTGTCTATAACTTGCTATGTGAACACACACACACACACAAAAACCATAGACATGATTCAATAAGTTTAAATGGTCCTGAAAAAAACAGTCACACTTTTTCTGTTCGTGGTCAAAAATGACCACACTAGAAACTAATGAAAAGCGAATTTCATCTAGTGGAAGCAATTGGTACTGCAACTGAAAGCTCTTTTTTTTTTATATCAACTTCAAATTTGGAACACAACTTGTTTAGATTTATGGATTTTTTTTACAGTAAATGTTTTAGAAAATAAATATTTTATATAACATTTGAAAATTGTATTTTTGTGCATTTTTCATAACAATAGACTTTTTAAATTTAACTTTTTTTCGCTTAAGCAATAATCTGCCAAGTGACTTGCAGCAGTTTAAGCAGGAAATTTCATCTTCATGTCTATGCTCAAAAAGTGGTTAACAGGTAATAAATGGATCAAAACTATTCCATAAATATAAGTTAGTACTTTAAATCTCCTAAACACATTTTAAAATATAGTACATTCGTTGCATTGAAGAAAAATCTGTAATTTTTGACCGCCATGTGAGCACTCGTGAGCAGCAGTAAACTCAAATGAAGATCTGTGTGTGTGTGTGTGTGTGTGTGTGTGTGTGTGTGCGCGCGCCTCAGGTCGTGTTTATTACTTCAATCACATCACGAATGCGAGTCAGTGGGAGCGGCCGAGCGGATCAGGGGCCGACGGCGTGAGCGAGGTGGAGAAAGTGCGCTGCTCTCACCTGCTGGTCAAACACAACCAGTCACGCCGGCCGTCCTCCTGGAGAGAGGAGAACATCACACGCAGCAAAGAGGAGGCGCTGCAGCTCATCCACAGTAAGAGTGTGTCACGTGTGTGTCTGTGTGTCTGTGTGTCTGTCTGTCTGTGTGTGTGAGTGTCTGTGTGTGT